TTTATACAGCTTGAATTCTTTATTTTTGACATGAATAAATAGAACCTCCAATATATATTTTGGTACCCTTATTTAAATAATTACTTCTGCTTGTGTTTGTTAATTTAATTAGTCCTGTAATCAGTTTTAGGTAACAATGGTTACTGGCTGCTTGAGATGCCTAACCCTTGGGTTTTGGAAGTGGGTCGTGACAAAAACACTAGAAAGTGAGAGAAACTAAAATAAATAAATAAAATTGAGTTTGTTTAGCATGAAGTAGTAAAAGTTACAAAAAAAATTAATTTTATTATACAAATCATAATAGCATGGTCATTAATTTTCTTGTTTCTTATAAATACACACACACACACACAAAAATATACAAGAAAAATTAAATTTGTTACTATAATAGTTACTTATAATTAGAATTCCTATTTTCTTACAAAATTTTCAACCTAATCAAAATTTTCATTCTTTATAATAAAACGAGAGTCTTAAGTTTTGTTTATGTGTAGTTTTGTAACAACTCTGACCTGTGATTAGTCCATAATCCTTGATTAAGAATGCTTAACAAGTAATTAAGATGAAGTCCTACATAAATTGCATGTACCATGTGTTATTTGTGTTTATATCTGTTTGCTGTAGGAATATATGTCGGTAATTCTGCTTGAATTTGTGAATTGAAGGCCTTATTGGCCACTGAACATGAAATTGACTGCACCAATGTGTTAAGTCAGATTTTTAGGATTTTATGGAGGGTTTAATTGAAATTTGATTCGGAATCAAATAATTAGAATAAATTAATTAGAATTAATCACACTTAATTAAGCTCCATTAAACAAGCCTATATAAGACCTAAGTAACTCAAAACTCTTCCATTTACACACTTCTAGACTTCTCCAACTTGAGCTCAACGTAAGGTAGAGAAAGAAAAGAGAGAGATGTGAAGAAATCAACTTGAAGGCTAGGGTATTTATAGAGAATTTGGAAGGAATTGAAGAGAACTTGCAGGATTAAGCTTCTACATTTGAAAACTCAAAGCTCTAGGTAAGAATTCAACTCTAAATTTATGACATGAAGTTAGCTGCCATGTGAATTCAAGAGAATTCAAAGATTAAAATAAGAATTAAGCATAGAAGATAGAATTGAAATCAATTCGTGCATGCATGCTCATTTCATCATGTTTTGAAGTTGATTTCAAAGAATTTGCACAAGCATGCTCTTATCTCGGCTTTGTTTTAAGAATGCAACATGTTTTTGTGCTCAGCATCTCATTTGATCATGATTTGAAAGTTTTGAATTCATATTATTACATACATGTTATATACATTTACATTTCAAGTTTGGTTTTGGGTAATTGACATGCTTTTAGGCCTTGGTTTTGCAAAATGATTTTCAATTCAAGATATATTATGAGTTTTTACATGTTTTCTCAAGTTTTGGCTCCAAAAGAATGTGTTTTGACGCTTTGAAATTGAGTTTTGAACTTGAAGAACAAATCTGGAAATTCCAAATTCTACATCATCGCCCCAGCGACCACCCTTTGTTTTGAACCTTGGCTCGAGCGACCAAGATGTTGACTCAAGTGTAAAATGAGAGCTCCCAGTAGTTTTGTAGACAATTGCATGCTGGCTCGAGCAACCGATTGTGCACTCGAGCGAACATCCTTTTTCTCAGTACTTGGCTCGAGTGATTGCCGAGCGACCATCGAGCATGAAAATTGAGCATCCAGTAATTTTACAAACTTTGCAGATCGCTTGAGTGACCAAAGTTGCGTCCAAGCAAATTGCTATATTTTTCAAATTTTGGTTAAGTGCTTTCATATGCATTTTTGCATCCTCATTGCATCTAAGGTATTCCTAGGCCATGATTAAGCTACAATAACGAGGATAAGAGTTATAAACACACGCTAAGGAAGATGAATGATAAGTTAAGCACTTTGGGGCGTGTGTTCAATGTGTATCTGTCACATGTTTGTGTAGGTCACGTGTTATCGCTGCCTAATCAATCTGTTTTGTTCAAGTGATCCGTTCTACCTCTAGAACTATCTGTGTGTAACAACTTTGTAAAACTATGTTTGATTATACGTATTTTCAGAATGATACAATATGATCTATTTTGTGAAATGCTATTTTGTGAATCTTGAATGATTGTCCAGTTTTTCTGAAATGTATTCGTGGCATCCTTACCATCAAGTGTTCATGTGATATATGTGACCTGGTACCAGGGTTTCAAGTGGGTTCCATTTATGGAACTGGTTATGCATAACCATCTTTATCAAGTGAAAGTGGGTTATCTAAATGACCATCTCAAGTGAAAATCGGTCTTTATGACTATCTCAAGTGAAAGTGGTTCCTTGTGACCATCTCAAGTGAATGTGGGTCTTTATGTCCCATATAAGTCTGCACAGCTCTATGGACGTTTTATTTGTGATATTTGCTCCTGCTAGCCCCTTATTATGTTAGTTTGTTTTAGAGGCCTTCGGTAATTCTAGGATTACTAGCCGATTACGATGCTAAACCTATAGAGGCAGGTTCGGGTCGTGACAAGTTTTGAACAAGAAAATGTATTTTAAATATTAGATTTTACAAATAATTATCAAATATATAAAAATAATTAGCAAAATATATAACCTTTTATATTCTTTGATCCGAAATCTGATACTCTTTATTATTATTTGGACTTCTTGGTGTTTGGTTGTGTATTAGGCTTAGTTGATTGGAGTTGTTGGTTGTGTTTTGAACAGGTTGGGAGTTAGTTTTTCAAAAGAATTATGTTTGTTTCTCTTCAGGTTAGCTCGAGCGGTATTTCGCCACTAGAGCAGTCTTTTGTTCCTTCTAGTATCTGTGTCTATAGTCTGAACTTCTGGGAGTGAGGTGTTCTTCGCTTGAACCACGGGTTGGCCGTTCAAGCGGTATTTTGTGTCTGACGCTTGAGTGGTCTTTTTTTCACTCAGGCGATATCTTTGACCCAATGTCTCATCGATACGAGCATAAAAAGACACCCAATAAAACCCCATGTCCCATCGATACAAGCATGGAAAAGCACCCAATAAACGCTTGTCTCATCAATACGAGCATGGAAAGACACTTAATAAACCCCCTTGCCTTGTTGATACGAGCATGGAATGACATTCAATAAACCCCCATGTCTCGTTGATACGATCATGGAATGACATTCAATAAACCCCCAAGCCTCGTCGATAGGAGCATGAAATGGCATTCAATAAAACTTCCATGCCTCGTCAATACGAGCATGGAATGGCATCCAATAAAACCTCCATGCCTCATTTAACATTAGCATGTAAAGGCATCCAATAAATCCCCATGCCTCATCTAACACGAGCACATATAATGGCATACATTGGTATCATAATGGCATCATTCTAACCACATTGTGGTATGTATAATTGTTTGGAATGGCTTTTTTTGAAAAAATTTACAGGACTGACACAACTTGGAAAGGAATGGAATGGAACTTGGCATAAGCTTTGGCACAACAAGTTGAGTATGGCAGGTATTACCCGCTCTCCTATTTTAGATTGCATGCTTCGATAAATGTTTGAGTGCTTGTTGCACACACTCGCTCACGTAGGATGTCAGGAAGGGGTCAAACTCGTGGTGGTAGTGGTGGAAGGCGTAGTAGGGCTCACCGGGGTGTACACGAGGTACTGGTCCATTAGGTTCCAGTGCAAGAGGAGGGGTTGAGCCATGCTAATATGGCCGAGCAAGTGGGGCAAGCAAAAATTCTAGGGTAAGCGGGTCAAGCCGCAATAGGGGCCCTAGCCTGAGAAATGGCGGGGGCCTTGAGGGAGTCGATGAACATACTAAGGGTGGAGACCCAACCTAGAGAGAACATCGTAGAGATGAGTGAGCTTTCTCACTAGAGAGTTTTTATAGGCCAAATCGGATGAGTTCCATGGTGGCCCCGAGCCTAAGAAAGCGGATGATTGGCTCGAATAGACAGCAAAGACATTTGAGATGCTCCACATCGAAGACAGTGAGCTTAGAGTGACTCTTGCAAATTACTACCACAAGGGGGATGCGGGCCAATGGTGGAAATACGCCAAGGACCAAATAGAACCGACATGGGAAGCATTTGTAGTGGCTTTCCAAGACAAGTACCTACCTCCCACTGCTAGGGAGAGATTGAGGCAGGAATTTCAGGATCTTAAGTAACTTAACATGTCCGTGGCCGAGTTTGAAGAGGCCTTCTCCAGTTTGTCCCGGTTTGCACCGGAGTTGGTGGCAACGAAAGAGCATCATTGCATCGAGTTTGAGAAGAAACTAAGAACCATGATCTTGTTCAAGGTTGCCGGAAACATGATTCAGAATTATGACTGTCTTGTGGAGGCAGCAGCACACGTAGAGATTACCGTGGAGGCCAAGGATGAGAGAATCTGGGGTTCAAGGTCGAGGGGTCAAGGGTCACAGGGAGACTATAGGCCCAACAAGAAGAGTAGAAACACATTTTCATCCCAGTCCCAACCGCAGCAGTCTAGATCCACTTTTCCATTGCCTAGTGCGGGCCTAGGGACGAGTGCACCGAGTGGCTTCTCTTGCTTCAAGTGTGGCCAACCAGGTCGCAAGGCCTTCGCATGTCCACAGAAGAGAGGTGGACCGCAAATGTTGCCACCACCACCACCTAACTGATCTCAGAGTTAGTCTCAAAGTAGGGGACAGGGGCCTACTTGCTATCAGTACGGTCAGTCAGGACACATGAAGAGAGGTTGCTCGCAGTTAGGAGGTGCATCTGGCGTATCAGGGTCGAGGAAGACTCAAAGCCACCAGCAGGCTCACTCAGTACAGACTTCGCGAGCTAATCAGGGAGCCGCTTCGGCTCAGTCAGTGCAGTAGGCCTATGCTCTGAGAGATGAGCATGTTAATCAAAGGCTACAGGGGCACGTGTATGTTTTTACCGCGCCAGAGCAGTTGCCGGGATCCTTAGTTGTGAGAGGTATTTTTGTTGTGTGTAATTCTTTGGCTAATGTATTGATCGATATGAGTGTGTTTCATTCATTCATGTCTACTGCATTTGCGTCTACATTGGGATTAGAGGTGGCACGGTTAGCGTCTCCGCTCAAAGTAGAGTCACCAGTTGGGGGTACAGTTGACTTAGACCGGGGGTGTTGTGGTTGTGAGATAGAGGTTGCTGAGCGTCGACTCCTGTTTGCTTTTGTGTTGCTAGACATGTGGAGTTTTGACGTCATTGTAGGCATGGATTGGTTGTCTTTGTACCAGGCAGTGGTTGATTGTTTTTGTCAGAGGTCTCAATGTGCACCTCGAGTGGTGATTGTTTTTACTTTCTGGGAGACCGGGTTAATAGGGTCTTATCGCCAGTTTTTAACCCTCATGGTAGAAATGAACTTAGTGGCCTTCTTGCTACTCTCTTGGATAGTGAGGATGGCAGGACTTGTGTTGAGTTACCAAGGGTGGTTTGCGAATACCCGTACGTATTTTTCGAGGATCTTACCAGTCTGTCACCCCACCGGGAGATCGAGTTCACCATTGACCTAGTCCCTAGAACGACACCAATTTCCATTATGCCGTATAGATTTGCTCCTGTGGAGTTGCATCAGTTAAAGATTCAACTCCAAGAACTTTTAGAGAAGGGTTTCATTCGCCATAGTACATCGCCTTAGGGAGCGCCGGCTCTCTTTGCAAAGAAGAAGGATGGGTCGTCACGGTTGTCTATTGATTACCGTAAGTCGAATCGGGTTACCGTCAAGAAAAAGTATCCCTTACCCTGAATAGGTGATTTGTTTGACCAACTTAGAGGATCTCGTTGCTTTTCGAAGATAGATTTGAGATCGGGGTACCATCAGTTAAGAGTCCAGGAGGAAGACATCAAGAAAACGGCCTTTCGTACACGATATGGCCACTATGAATTCCTTGTGATGCCCTTTGGGCTAACCAATGCGCCGGTTTCCTTTATGGACTTGATGAACCGAATTTAGAGAACATTTGGATCATTTTTTTGCCATCTTTCTGGACGACATCTTAATTTATTCAACCTCCAAGGAGGAACACGAGGCTCATTTGACTGTAGTGCTTGAATTACTTAGGGAGCACCGGTTGTATGCTAAGTTTGAGAAATGCGAGTTTTGGCTCACCGAGGTGAAGTTTTTGGGTCATGTAGTGTCAAGTGAGTGGGTAACTCTAGACTCTTCAAAGATAGACGCTGTGCAGGATTAGGAGCAACCCAAAAATGTTTTTGAGATTCGAAGTTTTTGGTGATTGGCGAGGTATTATCGGCGTTTTGGAAGGGACTTTTCTAGACTAGCTGCGCCTTTTACTAGGTTGACTAGAAAGGGGGTTAAGTTTGTGTGGAGTGATGCTTGTGAAAAGTCTTTCCAAGAGCTTAAGACATGATTGACTACCGCACCGGTGTTGATAATTCAAGAATGAGGTTTGGGTTACACCGTTTATTATGTTGGATCTCGGGGATAGACTTGGTTGTGTTTTCATGCAAGGGAGAAAGGTTGTAGCTTACAATTCACGGCAATTGAAAATTCATGAGAAGAATTACCCTACCCACAACTTGGAATTAGCAGCAGTAGTGTTTTCCTTGAAGATTTGGAGGCATTATTTGTATGGCAAGAAGTTTGAGGTTTTCTCTGATCATAAGAGTCTAAAGTATTTGTTTTCCTAAAAAAAAACTTAAATTTACGCCGACGGAGGTGGATGGAATTCTTAGAGGATTATGACTTCGAGTTACACTATCATCCAGGAAAGGCCAATGTAGTGGCCAACGCCCTTAAGTCAGAAATCCGTGAGTAGCTCGGCGAGTGTGGCCATTCGGGAATGGGTTATGTTGGGTGACATTGGCAAGTTTGAATTACACTTGGATGAGTCAGAAGAGGGTGCGATAGTGCAACATTATTTACTTTGAGTGCTCAACCTACCTTGATTAATAGAGTAATAGAGGCACAACAAGGAGGCCGTGAAGTAGAGTCAATTCAGGATAGAATCTCCAACAGGAAGGAAGAGAAGGGTTTGAACATTCACTCGGATCAAAGTGTACATTACCTAGACCGTTTGTTTGTACCTGAATCTTATAGAGAGGAAGTGCTTCGGGAGTTCCATCACTCACGCCTTGTGGTACATCCGGGGGGCACCAAAATGTATCGTGATCTTAGCTATCAGTTTTGGTGGAGGGGTATGAAGTGGGATGTCGCATCCTTTGTGTCGAAGTGCCTTACTTGTCAACAAGTGAAGGCCGAACACCAAAGACCAACGGGTTTGTTATAACCCTTACCAATAGCCGAGTGGGAATGGGAGCACGTTACCATGGATTTTGTAGTTGGGCTTCCTAGAACACAGTGGGGCAATAATGCCATTTGGGTGATTGTTGATAGGTTGACTAAGTTTACGCATTTCATTTCGATGCATACCGGCGACTCAGTTGAGCACTTGGCAGAGTTATACATTAGGGAGATAGTATGACTTCATGGAGGTCCTGCAACCATTGTATCGGATATGGATCCTCGCTTTACAGCCCGATTGTGGCAAAGCCTTCAAGAGGAATTGGGGACTAAGTTGACCTTTAGCACCGCTTACCACCCTCAAACCGATAGACAGTCGGAGCATACCATTCAGATTTTAGAGGACATGCTTAGAGCTTGTGTCCTTGATTTCAAGGGGTCTTGGGAGAGGCACTTACCGTTGATTGAGTTTGCCTATAACAATAGTTACATCACCAGTTTGTTGGGCTGAGGTGGGGGATGCACCATTGTTGGGTCTGGAAATTGTTAGGGAGACAACCGAGAAAGTTGCTCTCACTCGGAAGAGATTAGCTATGGCCCAAAGCCGACAAAAAAGTTATGCCAATAAGAGGAAACGACCATTGTCTTTCGAAGTGGGTGACCATGTTTTCCTCGAGATCTCACCTAGGCTTGTTTTGATGACATTTAGTAAAAGTGGTAAATTGTCTCCGAGGTTCATTGGGCCTTTCGAGATATTGGAGAGAATTGGGGAGGTGGCGTATTGGTTGGCTTTATCGCCACAACTTTCAGGGGTTCACAACGTGTTCCATGTGTCTATGCTTAGGAAGTACGAACCTGACCCTTCTCATGTGCTTGATTGGGTCGATTTGGAGGTAGATAAGGATGTCTCTTACGAGGAGCGACCGATTCAAATATTAGATACCCGAGAGCAAGTGCTACGAGGCAAAACCATACCGTTAGTAAAGGTGTTGTGGAGGCACTAGGGTGGAGGAGGCAACTTGGGAACAGGAAGCGGAGGTCCACTCCAAATATCTAGATTTATTTGGGGATGCTTAGTTATCTTAAATTGTAATATTCCCTAGTGACAAAAGGAAAAGTATTAAAATTGTAAATCACATGTTGTTATATGTATTGTTAATCTAAGCATAAGGTTGTGGTAGAATGATATTTTGTTAAAAATGCTTCTTTTCAGAGGCCTATTATAAGCAATTGTCGTTTTGAGATAATGTTGATGATAATGGTAAATATTGGTTGAAGATCGATTTTGCGATTTGAAATTTTGATAGTGTAGTCATTATTACTAGAACCCTTTTGTTTGGTTGGTTTGTTTAAATTTCGGGGACGAAATTTCCTATGGTGGGGAGGTTGTGATGACCGGTTTCATTGTACGTTGCTTCACTTATTGTCCTCTTTGGGTTTGTTGTGTTCGGGAATCCTTCTCCAAAATTTGGTTCTTGTTCATCCTAGTGTTAAATTTCTCTTGTTCCGGAGAGTGCGAGGTCAGGTTCGAAGTGCCTAAAATAGAGCTAAGAAAATTCTGGGCTGGGAGACCAGGGCCGCACGTGCGGGAGAGGGGCTGCACGTGCAGAAAACCAAGCCACATGTGTGGAGAGGGGTGGTCTTTTTAGCTTGCACAATGTATGATATGCAGGTGCGGAGTGACGTGTGGGAAGATGCTCCGCACGTGCGGGAGTGGGTGCCGCACATGCGGGCTTCTGGGCAGCCCAAAATTTTCTGTTTTTCTTTCTTTTGGGGCTAAGTGTATGTCATTTATCCTATCTCTCTCTCTCTCTAAAAACACATTGCTCTCCCTTCTTTCTATATTCCACACCAAAAACACCACAAGATCTTTGATTTCTCCAAACCCACACACATTTTGACCCAAGTTCCTTCATCAAAGTTGGGGAGCAAAGCAAGAGCTTCACTTTGTACGGTGGAGATCGGACTTCTACACCATTTGATCCTAGGGTATCATCGATCTCTTCATCAAACTTGAGGTAGGAAATTACTTAGAGTTATATATATGTTTTTGTAAGTTTTTTGGTTGATTTTGAGAGTTCCTCTTGGTTTATTTCGAAAATGGGTTCTTGGCACACAATTTTTTTATTTTATTTTATGGCCTTGTAGAAGAAATCTATCTTTGTTCTTTTTAAAGATTTTCTTGAAATGTTGAACCACATGGGTTGAGATTGATGTATTTAGTGAGGTTTTGAAAAGAGATGAGGAAAATGTTGGGGTTTTTGTGAAAAACCTAGAAATTGGGGGTTTTGGAAGTAATGAGGGGATTTATGGAATTTTCTTGGATTAAATGAAAGAGTGGGTGAGAATTTTATATTGTTGTGGTAAACATGATAAGTTCTTGATGTATGAGGGTTTTGGAAACCAAACTTGAAATTATTGTTAAATGCATACACACATGTAGTTATGAATTGGTACATTGTTGAATTCCATGGAATATGAGAATTGTAAATCTTGGAAGTTGATGTTCAAAATATTGCATATAGTCTTGAAAGGACTAAATTGTTGAAAATTGTGCAAAATGAAGAAATGTTGCTATGTGTTGATAGCCTCAATTGAACATATGGCCATTTTGTGAAGTGACATTGAGGGGAGGAAAAATGGGAATTTTGGTTAACTTTGTGTTGTTGTTGAGACACTTAAAGACGGGAATTATTATGTAGCATTGTTAATTATTGCATTACATTCTCTTTCAATTAATAATTTTACACTTTGAATGAGTTTGGAATGTTTGCATTGAGAAAATAATATCGTGAAATGAAATCATGGAAATGTTTATGGGGTAAATACGTTGGTAAGTCCGAATAGGAAGTGTAGATGAAATTGATAAGTTGGCCTGAGTGTCTAGGGTGAAAGACCGAAAACATGCGCGGAGGAGGTACCACTTCCTTGCGGTTAGCAACCGGTAAAGTGGGGTTTTTGGTAGTGCCTGATAAGCCTACATGTAGACACCAACTTAGGGATTACCTGAGTCGTATTTACTGCCCCATTGAATAAAATTGTAAGTTTCAGAATTGTTGAGATTTCAAGCTTTTGTTGAACATGGTGACTTTTAAAGGGCGTGTAAATGAAATCTTCTTTTAGTTGGCATTGCATGGCATTTGCATTTAACATTGGAAATCCTACATAAATGTATGTACTTTGTTAAGGATTCTCTACTGGGCTTTATGCTCACCGCTATGGGATTTTGGTGCAGGGAAAGGTGTGGCGATCCCGCTGAGTTGAGGGCATGGACATATTTTTATGAAGAGTAAATAACTCTATTTTGTTGTGATTTATTTGCTAGCCAAGGGCTTTAAGTGTATGGGTTCATGGAACCATTTTCATGTAACCATGCTTAAGTCTTGGAAATTGTAAGCCCGTGAGGGCATTTTATTATTTTTTGGATTTGATGTTCCACATGCTATAGATTCATGTATTTTCATACCGTTGAATGTATAATACGCATGTGGAACTTTTGTACACACTTTATTGACTAATGATGTAAAGGTTAGAGATTTACCTTTATTCCTTAATGGATGTTGGTTAATGTATCTAATTCGTGTTGGGTTATTTCGGGACGTTACAGAGGCCAATCTTTGATCGGGCGAGCAGGGCTACTCAATTCAATCATGACCTTCCCCTCTCGTACCTAAGTTCCTGAGCCGAGACAATCTTGGTGATGACGGACACATGGCCTTTGGCACGAGTCATGGGTTTCCTAAATTTATCCAAAACAAAAAATATTTAGGTGGCGACTCAGTATCTGGCAAAACAGTCCATTTTTGGCATTTTTTATTTAAAACCAAATTTCCAAAAAATTTGCTGGATTTGGACTCTTTGGTGATTATCTATTTCACATTGCACTTGTGAGATCAGATTTAGAACCGCGAGAGTCTGAACTGTAAGGCTTATTTCTACTTCCGAAAGGGGGCACGAAAAAGTTGAGCCACAATCTCCAACTGCGACCTTCCTACTCAAGGCATTTGCCACCACATTTGCCTTCCTCAGATGATACAAAATATTAACATCGTAATTTTTTAACAACTCAAGCCATCTTTTCTTACCTCAAATTTAGTTCCTTCTGTGTGAAAATATACTTCAAACTCTTATGATCAGTATAAATCTCACATGACTCTCCATACAAATAATGTTGCCAGATCTTAAGAGCGAAAATCACTACTGCTAACTCCAAGTTGTGCGCAGGATAATTTCTCTCATGTTCTTTCAACTGTCATGATGTGTAAGCAATCACCTTCCTATGCTGCATGAGCACACATCCTAAACCCTATCGTGAAGCATCACTATAAATCACAAAACCACCCCCATCTGCTGGTAAGGCAAGGATTGGAGTTGATGTCAATCTCTGTTTAAACTCTTGGAAGCTACGCTCACAATCATCATTCCACTCAAACTTTACCCCTTCCCTAGTGAGATTGGTAAGTGGCAAAGTAATACGGGAGAATCCTTCCACAAACCGTCTATAATATCCAGCAAGCCCTAGAAAGCTACGTACCTCTGTCATAGAAGTAGGTCATGGCTAATCAATAACTGCTACCACCTTCGTGCTATCCACAGATACCCCATCTTTACTCACCATATGACCCAAAAAGGATACACTACTCAACCAGAATTCACACTTCTCAAATTTTGCATATAGTCTCTTCTCCCTAAGGATCTGCAGTACTACCCTCAAATGCTGCTCATGCTCCTCCTTACTCCTTGAATAAATTAGGATGTCATCAATAAACACTACAACAAATTTATCCAACTGAGGTTTAAATACTTTATTCATCAAATCCTTGAATGCGGCTAGTGCATTTGTGAGACCAAAAGGCATCACCAAGAACTCATAAAGCCCATAACGAGCTCTAAAAGCGGTCTTATGAACATCCTCACCCCTTACCTTCAACTGGTGATAGCTTGACCTCAAGTCAATCTTAGAGAATACTTGAGCTCCCTGTAACTGATCAAATAGGTCATCAATGCATGCCAAAGGATACATATTCTTCACTTTCAGTTCCTTATAATCAATACACAATCTCATAGACCCATCATTCTTCTTCACAAACAACACAGGTGCTCCCCAAGGTGAGACGCTAGGCCTAATAAAACCTTTGTCTAGCAACTCCTGTAACTGAGTTTGAAACTCCCTCAACTCCAACGGTACCATTCCATAGGGCGCTTTAGAATGGAAAATTCTACCTTACAATTTGGAGAAAAACCAGGCAGATCCTCTGCAAAAAAAAAAAAAAAAAAAAAAAAAAAAAAAAAAAAACCAACACATTCACTCACTACAAGTAGCTCCTCTAACTTTTGTTCTGGCTGTTCGATACTCACCACACAAGCTAAATAACCATGACACCCTTTTCTCAACATTCGGTTAGCCTGAAGGGAAGAAATAAAACAAATAGAAGACCCTTTCCTATCTCCCTAAAAGAAGAACTCAAGTTGTCTCGGCATAGCGAAAACTACCCTCTTTCTAAAACAATCAATAGAGGCATGATGCTTCATCAACCAATCTATCAGTAGAGGCTATTGAACTCTGTTCTATGATTATGTTAATAAAAAAGAAAAACGGAACTAATGTTTTTCAAGAATCGAAGCAGTTTCAGAATGTCAACATACCATTGTTTCAACTACATGGAGTTTATGCTTAGCCATTCAATTATTTAAGTTAATAAATATATTTTTCATGTGTTTGGTTCTAGTACAGTTTTAGTATTATGTGCAGTATGCATGCTAGTTATTTATTATTTTAATTTGCAAGTTAATTGATTTCTAGTTTTCTAGTAATTTATTCATACAATTTATTTTATATTAATTCGTTGTTATTGCATGAGTAATTTGGTTGTTAGTGCATAAGTTATTAAGAATTGATATAAGATAAAATAAAAATTTTATTTCTTAAGATTTCTACTAATTTATAAGATTGCATGATAATATCTTTGAATTAATTATAGGCAATTTGTATGTTATCCTTGTGTCATATATGATTACTATGTGACTTTTCTTCAGAGCAAAGATGAAACAACCCGTTAGGGTGGGTGAATGTATTTTTTGAATTTTTATAATTCTGAATATATTCTTAAATTGGTGGCTCCTAGTGAGTACAGGATCACTAATCACAGAGATAGAAAACTGGTGGTTTCTAAGGGGTGTTAGACCACTGACTACTCAGTTATGAGATTGTGATTCATAGTAGTGAACAGATTACTGATCATATGTCAAGACATGATGATTCCTAGTAATGAAAGAATCTACTGATCCTATGTCAAGATATTATGATTCCTAGTAGTGAAGTGACTACTGATCACATACCAAGATATTTTGATTCCTAGTAATAAATTTTTTAACAAACACTTATTGTTTATTAATTAATTTATTTATTCTTAACAGGCACTTAACATACATTTTAACATCTCCATTGTATTACTCATTCACTCTCGAAATTAACATACACATAAAATGGGTTCACTTTTATTCTTTTATGTTAGTTAACACACTAATACACAATTTTAACACCTCCATTGGTGAAGCTCTAACCTAAATTGTGGTGGGTACAGTTGACTCATTTTTCCTTTTAGGTGTCCCAACGCTACAACAAAAAAAAAATTTTACAGCGCGCAATACACACCGTAAAAACCCTTCTACGACGTGCAACGCGCGTCATATTATGACCAGTCATGGAAAGTCCTTCACTTTCAATGACATTGTTCATACACCGTTAAAAACTATGTAACGGCAGATTTTGTGCGTCGTTGTTACTTTTTCTACGACTACTTTTGCACGCCTTTAATTAGTGAGACAAATAACAACGCTGATTGCACGCCGTAAAATATGTAATACAACGACTTATTATGCCTGTTGTAGAATATGTAGTTTTTTTTTATTTGGTTATGACATTAACTTTTATGATTTTTTATATAATGCAAAATAAAACTTGACTGCCATTTGTCTAACGACATAAACACAATGTTGAAGCTAGGGTGATCTCAACTGCTTTAATCCCGAAACTAATTTTTCCAAGGGATTGGTCATCCTGAAACAATCTATCTAAGATGCATTCCTTTAATTTCAGTTGTTTCCTATATAAGAAGTGATGTTGTATTGTATTGTTTGATAATATGGCTTTGTTTTGACTTTGTATAGTTAGAGCTGAGGTCGATGATGATAGTGGTGGTGGTGTTGCTATTGTATACTTGGCATCAGTTCCTTTGTTTTGACTTTGTATACTTGGCATCAGTTCCTTCTGGTGGTGATGGTACTATTGCAGTGACCTCATATGGTGGCGGTGGTGGTGCGGCTGCTGCTCCAGCAACAACTAAGCCCAAGAAAGAGGAAAAGGTGGAAGAGAAAGAGGAGTTAGATGATGTAAGTTTTTATCCACTTAATCACATTGTTGCTGGAATTCTGATATTTGTGACATCTCATTTCGCCCAGCTGTAGATACCCCATTTTTGACCGCCCTTAAGACTTAGGCACCACTGATCGCTTACTTGGTGATGAAAGGTGTATAGTGCAAAGGTTCGATTTCTTAAGAGGAGCTTCAAATCCCAACCTCACATCCCTTTTTGGACCAAAACCATTTTGACCAAAAAAGATTTTAGACCTTAAAACCCTCTCTTTCAAAATTACTTTTTGAGAAAAAGGTTCTATGATGTTCCGAGGCTCGCATTTCGTTAAATGTTGCGTTTTTCAGTAAACTGAGCAAGGACAAAGTGGAAATGAATGAAAGAGAGGTGAACTCTTTGAAAAAACTTCCAAATCATCTTGTTTAGAGGTTTTGAGGTGAAGAAAAGAGGAGAGGAAAGAAGAAACCAAGTTGGGGAAGCAGTTGGGCATGAACCGTTAAGAGAGAGAAAGAGTCGAGCAGGCCTCGCTAAATCAGGCTTATCCTTTTGTACATTTGGATATCAGCTATGAGGCCACCACCATTAGAAAGAAGACTTCTGGGGCTTCATTTTGCACTAAAGAATCTCCTAAAGCCGAGTCCGAATGAGGAAGATATGGTTGGTTGAAGTTGGGCATCAATCCGATTGAGCTGGAAATGAGCAACCTTCACTAAAAGACACATATCTTTTTTCATAATTGGAATTTTGATGTGAGGTTGCCACCATTGGAAATATTACTTCCGGGGTTTCAATTTAGACACAAGAATGACCTGCAAAGGAGTCCAGATGAAGGAGATATGCCCATTTGAAGTTTGACCTGGAGAGTAAATTTTTGCTGTCGGCCACCAAGGGTGGCCGGTCGGCCAGAAAAGTGGCCGGTCACTAATGTCTCAAACTTATATATTTTGCAGATATTTACCTTTAGTTGTTTTCCACAAGCTCCAGCTGTCCCTACATCAGATATTTCGACCAATGCTCTCTTTTTGCTATACATAGAGGCCATATCTCTCATTTTGCAAGGTTAGCAAATTTTGAGAGCCTCTCCCTCTAGATTTCTCTCTCTCTTGCCCTTTTGTGCATACAAGTAGAGAGTGTGCATACAAGTAGAGATACACCTCTCCTTTACCTAGACATCCTTGATCAAAGTGGCTCATCTTTGGGCTGAGATAACTTTGGACATTCTTGGAGCTCTAGAAGAGGATTTTGGCTTGGTTTAACTTGTTTTTGTTGCTCTAAAGTGTGCTTGGCTTCAAGAGGTATAACTCTCCCCTTTTGTACTTGTTTTGCATACTTGCTTCACCACCCTTTTTCCATTGTTTTGGGACTACTTTGGGGCTGGTTTTGAACTAAAACAACCTCTGTTTTTCAGTCCTAAAAATGGTGGTTTGAGCCTTTGTGAGTTAGGGGGTTGTCCCCCCTTTTGGCTTTTTAGCTTGTTAAGCTTTTTGTGCCATCTTTTATCATCTTTAAATCAAACTTTTTGGGCCTCTTAACCACTGAAAATCAGAGTTATTTCAGTGGCAAAAAGTATGTTTTGAAGTCCAAAAATGGAGGGGTTAGCCTTCCCTCCTTGTGTCCCTCTTCCATGCCTAGTTAGCATTATAAAGTAGCATGATTTTGTGGCTTAATTTAGCTTAATCTCAACATGTTTTAGGCATTATTTTGGACTGATATAACTCTGTTTTGGGTTACCTTGGTCATAGGGGCCTTGTTTTGCATAGTTGTAGTGCAAATGCCTTCACTAGCTTAGTGTTTTAAAGCCTCTAACATGTTTTGTTTGAGGTGATTGCATGTTTTAGCATCATTTAGCTTGTGATTTCAGTGTATGTAGCTCTGTCACACTCTCACTTATTCCACTCTTTCATTGCTTTTGAGAGTTGTGCTTTGAGCCTTGTTTGCAGGCTAACATGTGAACATGTTTTTCTAGCCTTTTGTGCTTCAATTTGAGCATGTTTTAGCCACTGATTTAGCACTTTTTAGCTCTATTTTGATTTGGTTTGATCATATGAGGCTTGTATTGTATGGTTGTGTTACAACCCCTTTCACTGGCTTAATGAATTGGGCTTCTTAACATGCATTGCATGAGTCGTTTGCATGATTTAATGTCATTTTGCATGTCATTTCGGCATCATAATGTCTCTTGTTACACTCCATTGTTTCACCCTTTCATTTGTCTTGAAAGTGACTTTGAACCCTTTGTTGGCTTGAGTGCGAAATCGAGGCATTTGTGCTTAATGGTTTAATTCCTTCGGGAGTTCATTAGCAATGGCATGAAGTCTCTTTCATGCTCAAAACACTTGTGGTTCAAGTCCTCTTTCAATTAGAGGACTCTCATCATTGGACTTAATCAATTAAAGGACTAATCGGTAATGTAAAATGAGTAAACAAAATGAATAAAGTAAAAAAGGCAAGATAAGCATCTTTGTTGCATTGCATGTGTTTGGATCGGACATTAATCCAAACACAGGAAATGAAGGACGTTTCATACTCAATGTGATGAGACGTGTCACATTTCTCGATTGCCGACACCCTTGATCATGCATGATAGGGTGGAGGTACCTTGAGTCTTGTTTGTGCATTCATTGACTTGTACAAGCTTGACTCTTTGGCCACCATGCATTGAGATGCTTGGTTGGTGGCTTGAGAGCCAAGTGCTATATTCTTTGAGCTTGAGAAATGATAAGGAGGGTGGCAATACACACATTTCCTGAAAAATGCATTGCTTTGCTCTGTTCCTCTCTCTTGCAGCAAAACCAGAAGTTCAGAATTGGGGGTGGTCGACCGGCCACTTGCAGGAGCCGGCCGGCCAGTTGAGGTGGCCGACAGCTAGTTTTTGTGGCTGACCGGCCACCAGTGAAAAGGTTTTGCAATTGTGTTCCTGTTTTGAAGCAGAGGCAGTCTGAAAGTTGGTACAGTGTTCAGAAATCAAACGAGCGCAAGCAGAGGCATCTGACGGCGAAGCAAGAGCATTTTCGGGCGGAGCAACCGGGCTTGCATGCATCCCTCGCCCCTCGAGGCCATTTAATTGCTTTACTTAGCTAGTTAGTGATAACTAGTTTACCGGTTTTGTAATTAATTAGTTAATGTGTTTAATTAATTAATTTGGTTTGTAATATCTTAATTAGCTTAGCATAGCTAGTTGTTCAATTGTTGTAATAGTTGACCAAAATAGTTAATTAGTTTGTTTTGTAATAGTTAGCTTAATTGGCGTAGCTAGTTGGCTCTTATTTCATTCGGACCCTCTTTCGCGAGGGCGCAATGTTGTAATAAGTGTGCGTGTGTGTGTGCATGTCTTCCAACCCTACGTCTTTCTCCCTTTTACTTAATCGCTTTTGATGGTTAGATTAGGGACATTTTCAATTGGCATACCTTATGCTTGCATGTTTGCATTCATTCGTTTTTTCTTACATGCACCGAGGCTTGGCGCATCATTCAAACTGCATCGTCAATTCAATACTTATTTGAATACGTGTTAAAACGTATGCTATCAAATTATTGCAAATAACATGTTAAGTAGCCGAGCCTACTAGATAGCATCTTGCATGTGTTGCATTAGGCATCTTGTATGGTTAGGATCATGCATTTTTCTAACTTTGTTTTATTTCCTAGCTTGGAGTACTAGGTGAGTTTTAACGCTTTAGCATATTGCATGAGTGTGATTGCCATGATACCATGTTTAGCATGCTTTCCATGAGGCTATGTGCTTAAATGATAAATTGCATGAATGCCTGTGGATGAAGGCTTTGTTGCTTGAACTGGGACAATTCAACGAATGAGAGTTTTAAGCCCACTTTGCGAAGTGGCAAATCATGTTTTAAGCTCATCTTGAGAGATGGAAAATCCGTATTTTAAAGCCCACTTGCGAGTGGCAAATTCAAACCATTTTTGAAAACAAACACAAGTTGAAATGTTCCAAGTCTTGTGACCTAGTCTATACTTGCTTGCGTGCGTCACATAGTAATGTTAGCTAATACCCGGAATAAGAACACATGAGGTTTATAAAATCACATATCATGATTAGTAGAGGCCGATCCTTTGATCGGGCGAGCGGGGGTGCTCATTTTAGGACCTTCCCCTCTCGTATCCAAGTTCCCGAGCCGAGGCAACTTTGTTGATGATGGACACGTAGCCTTTGGTACGAGTCAAGGTTTCCTAAATTTCCCCAAAACAAAATATTAGGTGGCGGCTCTGTAATCTAGCAAATCAGTCCAATTTTGGCATTATTTGATTTAAAGTTTGATTTTTCAAAATGATTTGCCGGGTTGAACTCTTTGGTGTTTATCGATTTCACATTACACTTTGTGAGATTAGATTCAGAATCATGACAGGAGTCCAAACTACAGGACTTCATTCGAGCTCTCCGAAAGGGGGGCGCGAAAAAGTCGAGCTACACCAGCTACTTATGTTATCTCAGTTCTCCTTTCACCTTACATGGTCATCTAAGCATGAACCTATTTACTGGTTAACTTGTTTAACATTGATGGATTCAAACTAACCATAACACTGATGGATTCAAACTATATTGTCCATTCATTTTAGATAAAGGTGAATATTATAGTTAGTGTCATATGAGGTGCCATAGCAGATGGTTCCCAAATATGCTATTCAAATATGACCAATCTAGCATTATTCTCTTTTTAAATTGTTGTGCATTCATGCATGTTCTTTGCATATCAATAACTTTCAAACACAATGGTATTGATTTTTCTTTTCTTGTAACTTGCTATAGGATATGGGCTTCAGTCTTTTTGACTAAGGGGATTAGATTCCTTCTTTCCTTCACAATTCAGAGTAATGTATGCTTAAACTTTTTGTTATGCTAAGTGAGTGTAGTTTTTGGTTTTTTATTTGGTAGAAAAAAAACTTGGCAAATTAAAAAAATACTGCAACTCTACTTGTCATAGTTTTTGTTTGTTTTATTAAACTAGTGAATTTTGTGCTCTATTCCAAATGTGTCTAATTTAATATTGGGGAAATTATATGTAGGTGAGATTTAGAGAAAAAAAAATTACCAATACATGGAGGGGTGCAAGTAACATTTGCACCTCCACAGTC